TGCTGCTGCTGCTGCTGCTGGCCCTTGCTGCTTCCGGAATGACAAGGCTAGGATCAGCTAATTATGTTGTGGTGTACGGCCTTAGGTCTGCTTCCTTTATATCTGGTCTGCTGCAGAACACACAGGGCCTCACGGTCTGCTGCTGCTGCTGCTGCTGCTGCTGCTCCTGCATGAGCGCTATTGTTTGCTGCAGCAGCAGCTGCTCTTCTAGAAAAAAAAGAAATGAAGTAAACGAACAAAATACAAATTATACGTTGAGACAGCTGTTGCTGCTGCTGCAGTATTGGCGTTAGTCAAGGCGGCCCACGGCTGCTGCTGCTGCTGCTGCTGCTGCTGTGCTGCTCTTGCTGCTGCTGCTGCTGCTGCTGTTGCGGCTGCGGGCTGCAGCGGCGGTTGGTCTTCTCCGAGCTTCTGGGTTCTTTGTATCTTGTCTTTGCAAGTTGAAATTAATTGTTTTCAGCACCTTTTTTTGCTGCTAGTGCTGCTGCTGCAGCTGCAGCAGCAGCACTGCTGCAGGAACGCGTCCCCGCCTTGGGGGCCCCCCAGGGGCCATCGTGCCGCCGTCAATATATTGAAAGTTGCTGCAACATCAACGTCAGCAGCAGCAGCAGATACAACAGCAGCCGCAGCCACGGCAGCAGCCACAGCAGCAGCCACAACAGCAGCAGCAGCAGCAACGCGCAAGATGTTTCCTCGCAACACCGTCAGCCCGCTGCTGCCGGCGAAGCGGAAGGTTCCGCCAGAAGAGCAGCAGCAGCAGCAGCAACAGCAGCAGCAGCAGCAGCAGCTTCTGCCGACCCTTCCTGTGGCGTTAGAGACCCACCACCTGTACAGACAGCTCTTCTCGCCGCAGCAGCAGCAGCAGCACGCGCTGCAGCACCGAACAGATCTGCAGATCGTACAGAGCTTGCTGGAGGTGAGAGATTCATTTATAGCAGCAGCAGCAAGTGCAGCAACAGCAGCAGCAGCAACAACAACAGGTTTAACTGCAGTTTCTCCCGCTGCTGCTGATCTCCTCCAGTTTTGATTGTGCTGATGCTTTATGCTCCTGTTGCTGCTGCTGCTTCTGCTGTTGCTGCTTCTGCTGCTGCTGCTGCTGCTGCAGGCGTGCCCTCTGCGAGTGCCTGCTGCTGAGCTCGTTGCGGATAAGCTGGGGCCCCGCGCGCTGAGGCTGGATGACAGCAGGAAGCAGCAGCAAAAGCGGCAACAGCAGCAGCAGCAGCAGCAGCAGCAGCAGAAGCAGCAAAAGCAGCAGAAGCACAAGTTAAAGCTCTCCCGTACCCAAGCGAAACGCCTCGGCCTCTTTGATGTTGCAGCAGAGTTCGGCTACAGCAGCAGCAGCAACCGCCGCAAGCAGCAGCAGCAGCAACAGCAGCAGCAGCAGCACAATGGCTTGGGGCTTCAAGATTTGCTGCCTTTGTTTCAGTTGTGGCAGCAGTATGCCTTATCGGTTTGCGGCGTAGAGGCGTCAGCAGCAGCATGCGGCAGCAACAGCAGCAGCAACAGCAGCAGCAGCAGCAGCAGCAGCGGAAGCAAGAGCAGGAAACAGAAGGGGGGTGGGGCCCCTGGGGGCCCCCAGGGGCCCCCCAAGTTATCTGCCTTCAGCAGATGCGGTGTAGCAGCACAAATGGATTTGCACGGGGCTTGGGTGTCTGTACACCGCAGCAGCTGCCCTTCTTTATGCGGAATTGCAGGTCTTGTAGTGCTGGATACGCAGCAGGTGAGGGTTTAGGGTTTAGGGTTTAGGGTTTAGCGAATGGGGAATGGGGGGCGGTGAGAGGTGGTAGCTGCATACGGTGCTGGCTGTTTGCTGCTGCTGCTGCTGCTGCTGCTCCTGCTGTTCCTCCTGTTGCTGCTTGGTGAAGCTCTCTGCTGCTGCCGTTGCTGCATTCTTTGTTGCTGCTTCTGTAGTGTTTGCTGCTGATGCAGTGCTTGCTGCTGCTGGTGCTGCTGCTGCCGAGTTGGGTGTTTTGGTTGCTGCTGCTGCTGCACTGGTTGGTGCTGCTGTTGTTGCTGCGTCTGCAGCTGTATTTTTTATTATTGCTCTGTGGGTTGCTTTGCTGCTTGTGGATTGTTTGTTGTTGCTGCTGCTGCTGCATTTGCTGCTGCTGCTGCAGTGTTTGCTGCTGCTGGGTGCTGACGGTGTCCTTCGCCGGGTGATTAAGAGCTGCTGCGTGCTGCTGCTGCTGCTGCTGGATGGCTCTGTCTTCTATTTGCACGGCAAGCAGCTGCAGCACAGCCCTGCAGCAAGAAGCAAACAAAAACTAAAGCCTAAACAAACAATCTTCCTCTAGTCATTTCCTTTCTCATGGGGGCCCCTTCATAGGGGCCCCCTAATAAGGGCCCCCGTAGGGGGGGCCCCTAACGAGGGGCCCTCCAGTGGGGGCCCCTAATGGGGGCCCCTCCAGTGGGGGCCCCTAATGGGGGCCCCTCCAGTGAGGGCCCCCTGATGTGCCTTCTTAGAGGGGTCTCCATGAGTTCATGGGACCCCTAATGAGGCACCCCTGAAAGGGGGCCCTTAACGACCCTACAGGGGGCCCCTAATGTGCCTAAAGGGGGCCCCTACTCACCCTACGGGGGGCCCCTGATGTGCCTAAAGGGGGCCCCTAATAAGCCTGCATGCAGTGCAGGGGCCCCCGAACAGATAGAAGTGATGTGGGGGCCCTTCACCTCGAAGGGGGCCCCACATTAGTTATAGGAGTTTAAAGGGGACTGTTGTCTCCATAGAGAAGAAGAGAAGAGGAGACAAAAGAAAAGAAAGAGACCCCAGGATATATAAATATGTATACATATATATACATATATATACATATATATATGTAGAGAGAGAGAGACAGAGAGACAGAGAGAGTAGAGAGAGAGAGAGAGAGAGAGAGAGAGAGAGAGAGAGAGAGAGAGAGAGAGAGAGAGAGAGAGAGACAGAGAGAGAGAGAGAGAAGAAGAGATAGAGTCAGAGAGTTAGAGACACTCAGAGGAGACACAAACAGACAGAGAGGGGGGACAGTTGGAGACCGGGGGCAGAGAAGAGACAGAAAGGAGACAGGAAGGAGACAGAAAGGAGACAGAGGAGACAGAGCAAGCACAGCAGCACTTTACGCATCTGCCTTCAGCAGACTCCGCACCAGAAGGGCCCTTCTGTTTGCTGCTGGGGGCCCCTCATGTTTGCTGCTGGGGGCCCCTCATGTTTGCTGCTGGGGGCCCTTCATGGTTGCTGCTCTAGGCCCCTCATGTTCGCTGCTGAGGGGCCCCCATGGTTGTCGCTCTGCGTTAATAACGAGGGTTTAGGGTTTAGAACGAAGAGTTGGGCCTTCTGTGCAGAGGGCATATAGTTTAGGGTTTAGGCTCTAGGATCTAGGGTTTAGGGTTTAGTGTTCAGGGTCTAGGGTTTAGGGTTTAGGGTTTAGTGTTTAGGGTTTAGCTGGAAGGTAGAGCAGACCCTCCGGTTACTCGTTACCGGCAACTTTTATTAGTTAATGCTTAATTTAGGGTTTAGAATTTAGGGTTTAGAAATTAGAAACTAGAGTTTAGGGTTTAGGGTTTAGGGTTTAGGGTTTAGTTCAGCTTCGGCGAGGAGTGTTCACGGGGGCCCCAGGGGCCCCTGAGATACCTGGGGGCCCCTCCTCAAACTGCAGCATAGTTGTGTATCTTGTTAGCAACAGGTGCTGAATTTGATGCGCTTATGATGTCCTAGGGTTTAGGGTTTAGGGTTTAGGGTTTAGGATTTAGGGTTCAGTGTTGTTTGCAAACTGTTTCACGTTGCAGCAGGGCGCCGGTATAACAGCAAGCTGTACCCTACGTGGGGCCCCTGGGGCCCCTAGGGTTTAGGGTTTAGGGTTTAGGGTTTAGGGGCCCCATGGAGTCTCCAACTCCGCTGCCTCTGGGAGGCGGTGTGCGCTGGCGGCTGCTGCAGACACTTGACCCTGCTGCTGCTCGCCAGCTGCAGCAGCAACAGCAGCAGCAACAGCAGCAGCAACAGCAGCAGCAGCAACTGCTCGGCCAACGTGGCGATCCATTTAGGCTGCTCCCTCTTCCCACCGTGACTAACAGCAGCAGCAGCAGCAGCAGCAGCAGCAGCAGCAGCGGCAGCAGCAGCGGCAGCAGCGGCAGCAGCAGTAGCGCCAGGTGCTATGAGAGCAGCAGCAGCAGTAGTAGTAGCCCCCACAAAAGCAGCAGCAGCAGCAGCAGCAGTTCGAGCAGCTGGATCCTTAGCAGTGGCGACTACGGGGGCAGCAGCAACAACAGCAGCAGCAGCAGCAGCAGCAGCAGCAGCAGGACAGCAGGAGCAGCAGCAGCAACAGGGCCCGATAGTGATTCATGTAGTGACTCGTTGTCTGTGGGGCCCTGGCGCTTTCGGAAGGAGACAGCAGCAGCAGCACTGCAGCAGGTGTCTCTGCTGCAGCAGACAGGGCTGGTGAGTCTGCTGTCTGAGGGGGTAAAGAATGTAGAGACCCTTTGCTGCTGTGCGCATGCAAGTTGCTGCTTAGCTGCATACTGCGGCTCTGCAGCAGCAGCAGCAGCAGCAGAGAAGGCCCTGGAGACCCTGACACCTCCGCCGTTCTGGGGGGGCCCCCATGAGGGCCCGCAGCAGCAGCAGCAGCAGCAGCAGCAGCAGCAGCAGCAGCAGGGGGGCCCCCCAGACCCTGTGCTGCTGCTCTTTAGAGGCTTTTGCTGCAGCGTTGCTGAGGGCCTTGAGGAGACACATGAAGTAGGTGTCTCCTCTGCTTTGCTGTACGATCTGCTTACTGCAGGGGGAAGGGCCCCCCCCTGTCCCCCAGACCCTCAGACAGCAGCAGCAGCAGCAGCAACAGCAGCAGACGGAGACACAGCAGCAGAAGCAGCAGCAGCAATGGAGACAGTTGGGGAGCTGCTGCCGGCTCTAGGGCCCATAGAAGCAACCCGACTCATATGCTGCGTGAGGCGGCTTGCTGCAGCAGATGTGCAGCTATTCCCTGCTTGGCGTCTGCAGCAGCAGCAGCAGCAACAGCAGGGGCTGCTGCAGCAGCAGGTGGAGCAGCAGCAGGTGGAGGAGGAAGCGGCAGCTGCAGCAGGGGTTTGCTGCTCGCCTAGGCCTCCCCTTGCTGCTTCTTTGTCTGCTGCAGCAGCAGCAGATATCATTGCTGCTTCTTCAATTGTCTCCAACCCAAAGGGCCTTGAGGCATTGTTAAGGGGACATTCAGAAGCTGAGGAGACACCGCATGCTGCTGCACAGACAGCTGCTGCAGAACTGCACCAAAGCCTCGCTCAGCTGCTGCAGCGCAGCAGCAGCAGCAGCAGGCCCTCTGCAGGTAGGGAAGAACAGCAGCAGGAGACACAGTAGAGACAAAAAGAGACACAAAACAAACATACTTTAAGGAGACAGCGTCTAGGCAACACCGCTGCAGCTGCTGCTGATGCTGCTGATGCTGCTGCTGCTGCTGCTAGACGTAGAAGGGATGCCTGCAGCGGCGTTCGTCTGTTTCTGTTGCAACTGTTGCTGCGGGTTGTGTTGCTGCTGCTGCTGCTGTCTCCTGCAGCACCTAAGAGCGTCTCTACACCTTGCCGCACGCTGCCTCCAGCCAGCGAGGGCAGGCCTCGCGCTGCAGCAGCGGAGACTGCTGCTGCTGCTTCAGGGGTCAGTTTGCCTAAGTGGGGAATGCAGCAGCAGCTGCAGCAGCAGCAGCAGGAAGAGGAGGCCTTGCCGTGGCTGCATCGCCTCTGTTGGGAGATTGCTGGGGGGCCTGCTGCCCAGGCGAAGCTGCAGCAGCAGCAGCAGCAGCAGCAGGAGCAGCAGCAGGATGTTCCTGAAGAGCTGATCCCTGTGTGCCGAGATGCAGCAGGTTTGTCTCTGATTTGTCTCGTCTTTCTTTGCTTCTTTTGCTGTCTCTTCTTCTGTCTCCTTTTGTCTCCTTGTGTCTTTTGCTGTCTCTGCATGCCTCTTATTATTTCTTCTGTCTCTTCTGCTGTCTCCACCTGTGTCTCCTCTTGTCTTTGCTTTTGTCTCCTGCCCCTAGACTGTCGTTGTCTCTTTCTCGTTTTTGTCTCCTGGTCTGCTGCTGCTGCTGCTGCTGCTGAGGGTCTCCGTTTGTCTTTGCAGTCGCTTCTCATCTGTCTCCTTCTGTTGTTTGTCTCCTTTAATATTTTTGTCTCTGTAGAGCTCATGGCTGCGGTGCTGGGCACTGTTGCTGCTGCACACGAGAGCGCAGCAGCAGCGGCAGCAGCAGCAGCAGGTGGACCAGCAGAAGCAGCAGCAGAAGCAGCAGTATCCGAGAGCTTGCTGCAGCTGCTCGGCCCCTCCTGCGTAGCAGACGTACACCGGATCGCTGCAAGAGCAGCAGCACTAATAGATGCAGCAGCAAGGCTTCAGGCTGCTGCTGACACCCAGCAGCAGAAACAGCAGCAACAGCAGCAGCAAAGAAGGGGTCCGACTCTAATTGGAGCTTCGGTGCGTCCACTTGCTGCTGCTGCAGAAAGTCTATTGCTGCTGCAATAGTTAGTTACCCATGCTTTTCAGCTGCCGCATGCTTCTGCAGCTTCTGCTGCTGCTGTTTCTGCTGCTGCTGTTGCTGGCTCGTCGTGGCACTCTGCTGCTGATGCTTGTGCTGTTGCGTCTGCTGCTGCTGCTGCTGCTGCTGCTTCAGGTTAAGTTTGCTTCTAATAAAGGTCGGAAAGGCAGTGGGGCCCCCGGGGGCCCCCGCGGCCTCTTGGGGGCCCTCGCGGATGCTGGCTACCTCAAACCCCCGAAACCCCCTAAGTCTTGTACGCAATTTGCCGCTCTTGCTGCTGCTGTTGCGTCTGCTGCTGCTGCTGCTGTTGCGTCTGCTGCTGCTGCTGTTTCTCCTGTTGCTGCTGCTGCCGTTGCTGTTGTTGTTCTACTAGCTTCCACTGCTGCTGTTCCACGTGCTTCTGCTGTTGGTGCTGCTGCTCCTGCTGCTGCTGCTGCGCCTGGTATTGGTGCTGCTGCAGCAGCACCACCAGCAGCAGGCTGCTGCTGAGGATTGGGGTGTATGTGCATATTATGTGCTGAGCGCTTGCGGGTTTAGGGGGAGTCAGATGCCGTGCCCGCTTGCCGGTTAGGGTTTAGGGTTTAGGGTCTATTCATTAGGGTTTAGGGTTTAGGGTTTGGGTGTTGCTGCGCAGCGAGTGAAGCATTTGATGATGCCTGTCTGCTGTCTCCTCGCCGCGCAATCCGCGGGTGTCTCCCTGAGGGGGCCCGGGTTAAGGATTCTGCTGCTACGTTTGAAGTGTATATACCTCCTGCTAAACCTGCTCCTGTAGGCGTCTCCTGCTGCTGCTGCTCGTGCTGCTGCTGCTGTTGGGGATGGGGCCGCTATTGCTGCTGTTGCTGCTATTGCTGCTATTGCTGCTGTTGTTGCTGCTGTTGGTGGTTCTGCGGCCTGCTGGCGTTGCTGCCCTTTTCGAGGTTAGGGTTTAGGGTTTAGGGTTTAGTGTTTAGGGTTCCTTCGCTGCTGCTGCAGCATTGCCGTTGGCTCTCGCAGCAGCAACAACACCAGCAGCACCACCTGTAGCAGCAGCAGCAACACCAACACCAGCAACACCAGCAGCAGCACCAGCTGCAGCAGCAGCAACACCAGCAGCAACAACAACAACAGCAGCAGCAAGAGCAGCAGGAGTATTTTATGTGTGTCTGTTTTGCTGTTTTAGGTTGACGAGAGTTCTTTGATATCAATTTCTTCGCTTCCTGAGTTTGCACAGGTTGCATTTTCAGGTGTACGTACACTGAACGCTCGGCAGAGCGTCGTTTACCCCGTTGCATTTTTATCTTCTTCATCTTTTCTTGTTTGTGCACCGACGGGAGCAGGGAAGACAAATATTGCCTTATTAGCGCTGCTGCAGCAACTTAACGAGCACAGACACCTCAAAGGAGGCGCAGCAAAGACACACCCCAGCAGCAGCAGCACCAGCAGCACCAGCAGCAGCAGCAGCAGCAGCAGCAGCAGCAGTGGGGTAGACTGGCACCCTCCTTGTGGGAAGCACTTTAAGGCTGTATATATAGCTCCGTTGAAGTCTCTTGCTGCGGAGATAACAGAGAAGTTCCAGCGTGCTTTAGGCCCTCTAGGTGTACGTATAAAAGAAGTATCAGCTGACATAGTCTTAGAGAGAAAGGAGATAGAAGAAGTGCATATATTTGTAGCTGTTCCTGAGAAGCTTGATATATTAACTCGTAATGTATTATCTGTCTCTGGTGAAGGAGACAGCAGCCTTCTTGATATAATTAAATGTTTTATTATTGATGAGATACACCTCCTTAACGAGCAACGGGGCCCCGTCTTAGAAGCACTTGTCGCGAGGCTGCTCAGACACTCCGAAAGAACTCAGAACAGAACGCGGCTCGTCGGCCTCTCAGCAACACTTCCTAATTGGTGAGGCACTCATATCTGTTTTCTTTCTCTTTCTCTTTGTTCTTGTCTTTGTCTTTATTCTTTTGTTTGTCTTCATTCTTTTGTTTGTCTTTGTCTTTGTCTTCGTCTTCGTCTTTAATCTTTTGTTTGTCTTTGTCTTTGTCTTTATTCTTGTCTTTGTCTTTATTCTTTTGTTTGTCTTCGTCTTTGTCTTTAATCTTTTCTGCTGCTGCTGCTTTTGGTTGTTGCTGCTGCCTTTTTTTTGTTGCTGCTGCTGCTGTTGTGCTGCATTGGCTGTTGCTGCTTTGGTGCTGCTGCATTTTCTGCATTTTCTGCATTTGTTGCTGCTGCTGCTGCTGCTGCTGTTGCTTCAGGCTGGAAGTGGCATCATTTTTGCGTGTTTTGCCTTCGCATGCATTTTATTTTGGGGCTGAGTGTCGGCCTGTGCCTCTGGAGCAGACATTTATAGGAGTGAAGCAGACCGACAGGAATAAGAAGCTGCAAGCAATGGATGCTGCAGCATTTGCTGCAGTTTTATCTGCTGTGCAGCGGGGGCACCAAGCAATGGTGTTCGTACACTCAAGACAAGGGACAGTAGAGACAGCAACATCTCTTGCGGATTTAGCAGCAGCTCAGGGTGTTGCATCTTTATTTTCTGCAGCAGCAGCACGCCCCACATCAGCACAGCAGCAGCTGTTGCAGCAGCTACAGCGCAGCTGCCGGTATAAAGAGTTTCGCTGTCTTGTTGAAAAGGGTTTTGGTGTACATCATGCAGGGATGTTGAGAGGAGACAGAAATTTATGTTGTCGTTTATTTACTTGTGGGGTTATTAAGGTTCTCTGCTGTACATCCACCTTAGCCTGGGGCATTAATCTTCCTGCTCGCTGCGTTGTTATTAAAGGTACTCAGATTTATTCTCCTCAAGAAGGCGGCGAGAAGGAATTAGGCTTTTTAGATATTGCACAGATATTTGGGCGTGCAGGACGCCCTCAGTATGATTCTATCGGAGAAGGAGTACTTATAACAGATTATTCGATGACAAGCAAGTATATTCGTCTGCTGTCTGCAGCACTGCCTGTACAGTCGAGGCTTCTAGAAGATCTTCCGAATGCTCTTAATGCAGAAGTTGCATTGGGGACTGTCTCTTCAATTAAAGATGCAGCAGAGTGGCTTCAATATTCTTTTCTATTTGTTCGCATGCAATCTCATCCGGAGGCATATGGGGTGTCACGTGCTGCTCTTGAAGAAGACCCTTCTTTGCTGCAGCAGCGGCTTGCCCTTGCTCGTGCTGCTGCTGCTCGGCTTAACAGCAGCAAACTGCTGCGCTACCACAGCAGGACTGGCCGCCTAGACTCTACAGATTTAGGACGTATAGCAGCAAAGTTTTATATTGATTACGAGACAGCAGAGACTTTCTCGCGTGGCTTAGAAGCCTCGCCTTTAACTAATGCATGCTTCTTTAAGCTATTAGGTGAGGCAAGGGATTTCAGCGGATTGCGCGTACGAAAGGAAGAGACAAAAGAACTAGATGACCTGCGACAGAGCTCTGCATGCAGAGTCGCCTTTAAAGGAGACAACGACAGTATTCCTTGCAAAGTCTCCACATTGCTGCAGGCTTTACTCTCTCAAGTGTCTCTACAGGCTTCTTCGCTGATTACAGATGCTAATTATATTTATGCAAATGCGGGGAGACTGGCGAGAGCGCTGCTTACTGCAGCACTTACAGATATCATAGGAAGAACAGAAGAAGCAGCAAAACTCTTAGAATGGGCAAAGGCTGTTGAGAGAGGCTTCTGGGCTGATGCATGCGTCTTGAGACACTTCATTAACCCTAATTGCTTCTCCGCAGATCCTCAAAAGAGACGTTCATTCCACCATCAAGACCCCCTGCAGCACGAGCAGCAGCAGCAGCAGCAGCAGCAGCAGCGTGGGCAGAGGGGGAGACAGCGCGTGTTGGTGCGGCCGCAGGCAGTAGCAAAGATAGAGAAGCTGAGATTCACGCAGGAGAGGCTAATGTCTCTGTCTCTTAAAGAGCTGCAGCAGATATGCAGCAGCAAAGCAGATGGAGAAGATGTTTATAGTGACCTGCGACAGAGCTCTGCATGCAGAGTCGCCTTTAAAGGAGACAACGACAGTATTCCTTGCAAAGTCTCCACATTGCTGCAGGCTTTACTCTCTCAAGTGTCTCTACAGGCTTCTTCGCTGATTACAGATGCTAATTATATTTATGCAAATGCGGGGAGACTGGCGAGAGCGCTGCTTACTGCAGCACTTACAGATATCATAGGAAGAACAGAAGAAGCAGCAAAACTCTTAGAATGGGCAAAGGCTGTTGAGAGAGGCTTCTGGGCTGATGCATGCGTCTTGAGACACTTCATTAACCCTAATTGCTTCTCCGCAGATCCTCAAAAGAGACGTTCATTCCACCATCAAGACCCCCTGCAGCACGAGCAGCAGCAGCAGCAGCAGCAGCAGCAGCGTGGGCAGAGGGGGAGACAGCGCGTGTTGGTGCGGCCGCAGGCAGTAGCAAAGATAGAGAAGCTGAGATTCACGCAGGAGAGGCTAATGTCTCTGTCTCTTAAAGAGCTGCAGCAGATATGCAGCAGCAAAGCAGATGGAGAAGATGTTTATAGGGCTCTGCGCTATGTACCTCTTGTAGAGACAGAAGTGCGTGTGCATGCAGTAACCGCTCATATCTTACGTGTCTCCGTTGCTGTCTCCTTTGCTGATTCTTTCATCTTTAATGAAGCTGTACATGGGAGAGGAGAGCCTTTTCATGTCTGGCTGTCTGAGGCAGACAGCGGGTTGCTGCTGCATCAGGAGACAGTGCTGCTGCAGCGGCAGCACCAGAGGCAGCAGCAGCAACTCGTCTTTGCTGTCCCCTTGCATGATCCTGCTTCACAGACGCAATTTGTTGTAGATGTAGTTAGTGATAGATGGGTAGGTGTCTCCTCGAGCTGTCCCTTCTCAGCTACACAGATATTCTCTTCTGATATATCTGCTGCTGCAGCAGCAACGCCTCTGCTGAATATACACCCGGTGCCCGTAAGCGCCCTTGCAGAGCCTCGCTTCGAAAGTCTCTTCTCCTTTTCTTTCTTCAATCCTATTCAATCTCAGGTCTTTCATGTTTGTTATCATACAGATTATAATGTGCTGCTGGGGGCCCCTACGGGTAGCGGCAAGACAATAGTTGCTGAGCTTGCTATATTGCGCAGCATAAGAAATACTCCTAAACATAAAATTGTTTATATTGCTCCTTTAAAGGCTCTTGCAGCAGAACGTCTTAGTGATTGGCGACAAAGACTAGGGGGACGTCTAGGCCTACGCGTTGCGCAGCTAACAGCAGACAATGATGAAGAAGACATAGACCCTAACAAAGCAGATCTCTTTATCTGTACACCTGAGAAGTGGGATGGGCTGTCGAGACAGTGGAGAACGAGGGCCTTTGTCTCTGCTGTGGGGCTTCTTATTATTGACGAGATTCATCTTCTAGGACAAGAAAGAGGTGCTTATTGTCTCTCTGTCTCCTTTTAGCGCTTCTTTGTTTCAAGATTTACTCTGTCTCCTTCTTTGATTATCTTTTAGTTTTTTGTTTCTTCTTAATGCTTGTCTGTTGGCTTTTATGTTGTATCTAGGCCCTTCTTTGTTGTGTCTCTATTTTTACTCTATTTTATCCTCTCTCTTCTTCTTCTTCTCCTTTTGTTATATTTTGTTTTATTATAAATTGTCTCCTCACCCCTTCCTTTGCATATTATTTATTTCTTTGTCTTATGCAAGTGTCTCCTTGCTTCTTTGTTTTTATCTAATTGATTTTTATCTTTTTAAGGTGTCTCCTTATCGCTATCCTTATCGTATTCTCTTTGCATGCATGCACAGGCCCTGTCCTTGAAGCTATTGTGAGCCGCATGCGTTTTGTGCGAAGCCAACGGGGCTTTTGCATGCGTTTGGTGGGGCTTTCTACTGCTCTTGCAAATGCTGAAGATGTCGCTAGTTGGATGGGGATCGGGCGTGTAGGGCTGTTTAGCTTCCGCCCAGCAGTTAGGCCTGTCCCTTGTACTGTTCATATTGCAGGTAAGGAGTCTCTTTATCTATTGAAAAATATAATAATAATAATAATAATAATAATAATAATAATAATATTATTATTATTATTATTATTAT